TCCTCAACCAACTGGCTCGTCCCTGGCCGAGCAGCCCCAGCTGCGGAGAAGCTCCAGGCACAGGAAGGTTTCCCAGCAGGAGAGCAGGGGCAGGGCCAGCATTGCCGAGCCGGGGGGCCGGAGCGGGGCAGAGCCCTTCCCAGTAACCCTCCCAGCAAGCATCTGACCCATGGGACAAGCTCCCAGCAGTTTTCCCCAGGGATTGCGTTCAGCTGGAGCAGACGAAACCCCAGGAGTATCCATCTGACCATCCTCGCTTGGGGGGATTAGTGAGACAGCCTCCTTGTTTGGGAAAAAAAGGAGACGGAGAAATCAAAGGGATTTCCTACCACCAAGCTCAAAGCCAGGGTGCGAACCTGCGGACATCCCGGAGACGCCGACCTTGGGGAAGTTTGCTCCAAAAAGTGCTCTTATCAGTGAGGATACCACCTAATGGGAAGGGGAAAAAAAAAGTAGGAATGGAGAAAAAAAAAAGTGGAGGCTTTAGGAGCAAAGTTTCCATGTCACAACAATTATCATCACGTCTGCCTTTCTAGAACCTCTCTCCAAAAAATAAACAAACCCACGGAAAAACCACAAACCCCAAAGAAACAGAGCATCACCCGCGGTCAGCATCGCAGCACGTGGATGAAGCACACAGAGCGGCTGCCTCCTCCCAGCCCCCCAGCCCGGGGAAACCTGGAAAAACCCGCCCGTTCCTCATGGGAATAATCTCGGGTCCTTCGCACCAGCCAGGCGATGCTACAGCTGCTCAAGGCAACGCTGAAAAGAAAGAACGCTTCTGCCGCACGCAGCTTTTCACCGGGGACGTCATTTTTTCCTTCCTGATCAGAACATATTAATGATCTCCAGAAATGGCAAAGCCAGTTTTTCCAGGCTTTTTTTTCCCGCCCCCCCATTTTCCAAACACAGACTGATCTATTGGAGCGGAAAAGCTCTGCGTTTCCCTTCCCTCTGCCACAGCCCCGCAAGGGCCGTGCCCTGAGCACCTCTGCTCCCGCCCCCGCTGCCCTTCCCAGCTGGGCTATGGCCGCATCCTGCCCTTCTTTATCCCCAGCACCACCCTGTCCTCCGGCCAGCCCCTCCTGCCTGGGTTTTGGCCCCGGCAGCCCTTTGCCTTACCCTGCTCCAAAGCCTGGATGCCTCCATGGCTCTTCCCAGCACCTTCCCAAAAGAGCCACCTCCCGCAAACCCCATCCAGGCGCCCTTCCCGGGCCGGCCGCCCAGCCCCTCCTGCTTCTCCCACATCTTCCTCCTCTCGGCAGATGAAGGCCAGGGGGAAGCCGACCTCCTCCTCCATCCCCTGGCATGGAGATTTCAGGCCAGGCTTCAGCTTTCCCAGCCGATCTCTCCGTCACCCTGCCTGATGGCCAGATGGACACAGGGACCGTGCTGGTCCTCGTGTTTTATTAACACTGGGGCGGGGGGAGGCAGATTATTAACAGGGCTGATGATCTCGTACCGGTAATGCCCAAGTTGGCTGGGTAAGTGGCACAGAAGTGGTACAGAAGTGGTAAGTGTGCAGAGATAAATACAGAAATCAGAGAGATCCTATAAGAGAGAATAAGATCTCTCTGATTTCTGTACTTACTTCTGCACACCTATTAATTCTGCATTTCCAGCAGCGGTGGGGGTGAGCCAGAGCACACACCAACCTCCCGCTCACGGTCCCGTGCCGCGTTCAGCACAGGAGCAGGTCTCCCAACACCTCACTGGCTGTTTTGAGATCCGTCTCCCATGGGAGGTTTTAGATCCCCCTGCACCAAAGCCTCAGCTGGTGACAGTCACCCGCCTGGCCGGTGGCTCTCCCGTAAGCCGCAGCAGTGAAGGGAGCCCACAGCTCTTCTTGCCTGCGTCAGGGAAGCTGGGGCTGAGCAGCAGGGCCATGCCCACATTACAGCTGAGCATGTCCTTGCTTGCTCCGAGCCAGCTCTGCATTTTCTCTTCCCTGGTCACCCAGATACTGCACGTCAAAGTGGTAGTTTCTGGATTACCGGGCAAACCACCCTGACACAGGGAAACGCCATCCTCTGCCCTCCCCATTCCCCCAGCCTGCGGCGATGGAGAAGGGGACGAGGGGTGCATCCTCACCCGGACCCGGTTCATCCCGACCCGGCCTGGCTGGTCCAGCGGCAGCAGCGCGGCCGTGGAGGATGTTCCCAGCAAAGCCGGTACCCGAGTACGACTGTCAGGGCTGGCTGTTGCACACTGTGGTTCCTGGCACCCAAGATCAGTTCTGCTGATGCAAAGTGAGCACAAAGGCTGGGCTCCAGGCTCAGCTTTGCTAGACCAGGTCAGCAGCAACAGCTCAGGAAGCCGTGGCTGAAATGCAGCGTTGCCACAGATCCCACACAATCCCTGGCTTAATTTTATTTCCCCCGTAAAATTTAGAAGCTTCAATCAAAACCAGAATGAGAAAAGCCCCAAAGCTCTTCTGCTTTTCTGGATGGTTTTTGCATCCATGCTATGGATGAAACCCCAAAGATTCACCCATGGGCTTGCTAGAAGACACCGACACCACGGCAGGGAACACGGAGGCTGGCCAGCCCTGCTGACTCTTCCCGAGCCCTGCTCAATGCCCATTCAGCTCCCGGCTACCACAGCAAAACATCCCAAGCTCCCAGCTGGATACTCAGCCTCTCCTGCCCTCAAAGCTCAGGTGGCCTCCAGCGCGTCCCCAAGAGGCGAGGAGGGCTCCTTGGTGGCTGCAAGCTTCCTCGGGGTGCAGGAGGTGCCAGCTCTGGGTAACCATCATCTGCAGCCGCACCAACGCCTGCCCAGGCCCACAGAGCTGCCCAGCTCCAAACCACTCTCTCTCCACCAGTTTCTGGCATTTTCCATGGTTTACACGGGATGGGGACTGGAAGAAACCCCCAAGCAGGTTTTGAAGAGATGCTCCTACCTCTGCAGCAGGATCCAGCCACCTCCAGGTGCAGCCCTGTGCCCTCCAGCTGTAATTATTGACAAGAAAACGAGGCTCATCCTTGCAATTACTGCAGCCAGCTGGTGACCACCCCTTCGGGTGCTCCTCTGCTCAGCAATGCCCACTTGGGTCGGTTTTGCTGATGCAAGAGGGTCCGTAATTATGGCTAATCCCGTTCCTCATCAGGCGGTGCCAGGCAGGCAGCAGGGGCAGACACAAACCACCAGCCATGCCCAGTACCATCCTGATGATGCAGCTTCTATAAATAGAAAAGACTAAAAAAACATCACTGTAAATCCTGCCCACGCCAGAACTTCCCAGGGAACCGTGAACTTTTGCGGAGCTGTCGGATGCTACGAGGCTCCAGCAGCCCGGGGCAGGGTTCGAGGTGGGGAGGAACAAGCCCAGAGCTGGGTTTGGTTTTGTTCTGCGGCGCTGAAAGCGATAGCATGCGTGGCAGGCAGGGACGCGGCCCAGAGCTCAGCACCAGTGCCAGGCAGGAGGCTGGCCTGACCCGGGCTTGCCAAGCGTTTTCCCCCAGTGCCCACACTGGAAAGGCAGCAAGTTGGGACATCCCCACCGGGGGCTGCATGCGGTCCCCCAGTGCACAGGGCTGCCGAGGCCACATCCTGCTCTTACCTGCTGGTAGCTGAGCAGCGGTGCGCATCCCGGGAAGCCCCCGCAAAGCCCTGGAAGAGGACTGCCTTGGCTGACGGGCCCCTTCCATGCTGGGCTTTGGCCCCCCCTCGCCGTGGAAGATGGGAGGACATGCCCCGTGCTGTCCTGGAGAAGTTCCCATGGTCCAACCCTGCCCTGGGGTGGGTGTAGGTGCTGCAGGACCCCTCAGAGCTGAGCTGACGAAGCCGCTGGGTGAGCCTGGGGATGAGGAGCTGCCCCAGGAGCCCCCCCACGCCACGAGCAAGCGCCGGTGGGACGCTGGTGCTCTGCTCTGCCCCGCTGCCCTTCAGCCTTTGCAGGAGCCACACAACTCCTCGAGCAGCAGCTACAACAGCAATTAACACTTCCATATATAGATTAATTCTACCACCACATAACGAGGTCATTAAGGCTCATTATCCCCGCTCTATAGGTGGTTGGGATTGGAGGGAGCCCAGCCTTGGCTCGAGCCCACATGGCAAAGCGGCGCAGCTGGGACGTGAGCCCCAGCCCTGCCCCCAGCCCGGGTGCTGGGAGCCCTCCAGCTGCAGGGGCTGGTGTGGAGCACACCCGGCTTTCGGCCTCCGGACGCTGCGGGCATCGCCTGGCACGCTGCCCGGCACACGGCGCTCCGGAGCCAGCCCTGGCAGGCTGCAACCTCTCCTTGCAGCCAAAGTGATAGCAAGGAGACGAAATGTTTTAAATAACCCCCAAAATGTTTAAAATAACCCCGGCGATGCAAAAGCTGCATCACGGGTTGTTCTGGCTCTGCTCTCGCTCAGCCGTCCCCGCAGCGGGGCTGCGAATGCCTGGGCTGGCCCTGCACCCTGCCAGCCTGGCTGCCGCCGGAGAGGCTTGGACCAGCGTCACCCTGGGAGCAAAAAACTGCCTAGCGAGAGAGAAAGCGCTGCAAGACATGCAACGCATGCTCTCCCCTCCCTTTATTTACTTTAAATTGTGGATAACTCATTGCAGAGCAAGGAAACCCTGCCCGTGGCGTGGAGGGGCGCACACAGGGCTGCGGGCAGGGGCTGCCCAGCGCGTGGGCAACAGCCTCCAAGGGGCCAGCTCGGGGCGTGCAGGGGCTCCAGGTCCTCTCTGCTGCTCGGGCTCCTCCGGCTCCATGCAGGATTCTTCCCCCCCGTCCCCTGCAAACGGCTCTTTTCTTTCTTGCTCCAAAGCCGAGGGAGGCTCAGGCTCACCTACAGCATCGCTCCCATTGCGGCCGTGCGGGAGACCCTACGGCCCCACCCGCTTGCCCCCCTCCTGGCAGCACAGCCGCGGCTT